AGAACTACATTGGTGAGTCAATGAATTTTATTTTACATTTCTTCTTGTCATTTTATTTCGTTAGTATTAAATTCGTGGTAACGAAATAAAATGACAAAGATACAAACGTATCAAATAAATCTGCTCACCTGCAATTTATAATGGCGCATTGTAGTCACCTTCGTGCATGAAAGTTCGTTCAATCTCAGCTGTTAGTCAGTTATTTGCTGTTGTATCGCCGATTTTCAAAATGCAAATGATCTGTTTATTTTCAAAGAATGGTTTGTTTTGTTATTGTTTGGTTGGTGTCTTATATGAAACTGCGACACTGCGCAATTTATTGGACAGACTTGTTTAAGGTTACACGGCGTAATTTGGGTGGCATTTTATTTCGTATTTTTAAATCATCTTTTTATTTTTGACTATCTGTAAATGTAGTTTCTTGCTCTTAATTGTGAATGCATACTTGATGGTTTTAAATGCTCCTGAAATGAAGTGTTGCTTGACGAGCCTGTACAGTATTGTGTTCATGTATGTGACGTCACTGAAGGCCTAAGGTTGAAATGCACGGCCCGCCACTGTATAGATCATGTTATATATTGTATTATATAATTATGTTTCTATGTACAAGAGTTATGTTGCCTTTTCAAGATAATTGTGTTAACCAGACACCCAGACTCCATGTTTGTGATTTGTTTTATGTCAATATAAATGCAATGTTTATGTCTGCCATGCATGGATATTGTGAATAAACCATTGCATTGGAAAATGGAATATTTATTGGAACACAGTAACAAGTATTTAGATGTATTAGGTAAAGAGAAATGTATAATCAAGTTACAACTACCTATTTACTACATATTGGTAATCATTTCATTAATTTAAGGTTTACTTCATTCTTTCACATTGGTTCCGATTACAGCAGTTACTGTATTAAAATTTATTATTCAAGGTTTACTTAATTCTTCAACATTGGTTACCTATTATAGGAGTTAATTTTTACTAAATGAAAATGTGTAACTTGACAATTGAGTTGAGTAAGGGTTACTTAATATTTTCCTACCTGCAATTTTTAGTTTCTTGTAATTGTTACCTAATTCTCCTGAGTGGGATATACTTGAAATATGAGCAGTGAAATTTACTCACTTGGAATGAGTGCAAATACTTGCGAGATTTTTTTTAAAGTAAATGTGAGTAGTCGTTTTTTACAGTGTGGGTAGAAGCAGCCGAGATGAGTTTCCTCTGCAGGTTGTCCAGGCAACTCCCGCAGAGGAAAGGATGTGAAGCGCGAGAGGGGCTCAGATGGGCTGGCTCGGACATCTGGTTAGGATGCCTCCTGGACGCCTCCCTGGTGAGGTGTTGCGGGCATGTCCCACTGGGACGAGGCCCTGAGGATGACCCATGATATGCTGGAGAGTCTCCCAGCTGTCCGTGGAATGCCTTAGTATTCCCCTTCGAAGAACTGGACAAAGTGGCTGGGGAAAGGGGCAGTCTGGGCTTCCCTTCTAAAACTGCTGCCCCACCGAACTGACCCCGGATAGGATAAAGAATACACATGCAGGTCTCTAGGCTGAGAGCGATTTGGGTGCCCAGGCAGCCTTGTTTCACAATGGTACATGAAAAAAAAACCCTAAGAGGTTGCACCGGTGCCATCAGCCTTTCGAGGGGTGCGGGAGAAAGGTGTTTCTTCATACGATTGATACCATTGTATTAAATGTTTAATATTTGCAGCAATTTCGTCCCAAAAAATGGGTGAACCTATAAAACTATGGCGTTGAATGCGACGCAAAGGGAAAATTGGGTGCACCTAACTTTTGTGCTAATTTACCAAAGAAGAAAAGTTGGGCGCACAAGACCAACCAGTGCAAAAAGTTTGTCTCGAGACCTGTGATGGATGGCTTGACAATGATTTGCAAATTCTTTTCAACCTATACAGTATTCAATTGAATACACCAAATATAAGGTATTTAATGTTCATACTGTGATTTGCCCCCTCCCCCAAATAGTCACTTATTTTGAATTTGATGCCTGCAACACGATCCAAAAAAAGCTGCGACAGGGGCACGTTTACCACGGTGTTACATCTCCTTTCCTTTTAACAACATTCAATCAGTGTTTGGTAACTGGGGACATGAATTGTTGAAGCTTTGTCGGTGGAATTCTTTCCCTTTCTTGCTTGATGTACAATTTCAGTTGCTCAACAGTCAAGCGGTCTGCATTTTGTCCGTATTTTGTTCAGGTTTCAACTTCTTTGGAATTGGAGATTGTACAAATGCACTAATGGGTTAAACTGCAATTGGTAGCATATTCACAGGTCATCTGGGCTGAGGTTTCAAACCTTCAACCTTCGTGTCAGTGGCACAGATGATCAGATACTGATTGTCATACATGGGGCTGGCCTTTCCGGAAAGATTCGTGCTGTGAGGAGTTGCGTGGCCTTCTCTTCAGACTTCAGCTCCTGTTCTGTTATCTGGGGATTGAAGAGGATGGGATCACTAAGTACAATGGTATACTATTTTGGGAAAAGGAGCTTAAAACTTCAAGCAATATAGCATGTCTTATTGTGACGACTGATTTTGAAACAGAATAAAGTCTTACCATAATTGGAATATACCCTAAAATCTCTAGATGGCGAAGTTTGACAGCCAGCAGACCTCGGGGTTGAGATGTCCCAAAGCAGAAAGCAGAGGAAGGCGGACAAAGAACTGCCATTCTACAACAGTGATAAGAGATTTCTATAACATAAGAGGTACATTTGGAAGAAGGGTAGTCACAGGTCAGTCACCATAAGGTAACTCATTTAACTCTCCCAATAGATTTTTTTTCATCCACATTACAACCAAAGACAAAGATAATGACAATAACACAAGCTCCTCGGTGGCAGCGCGGTGGAGGTGGCGAGATCCGCCTGGAGTTCTTCTAGGTTCTGGATAACGTGGGTCATTGCATTGACAATATGCACAGTACATTGCCTCCAGATGAGCAAACCGAGGTGGTGACGTTTAAGAACGGGGACAGAAGGGCATTCCAAGTACTGTACTCCAAAAGGTGCAAACTCAAGTGTCAGGAAAAGGGACGTCTGGGGCCTTTCTGTTTAATAAGCTCGTGCCCGAGCATCATGACCTGGAATAAGTGGAAGCAGAATGGACAGTTTCACACACATATCTTACCTTTGTGCTTGTGTTTCTTCACTGGGGGTTTGGTTTGCCCCAAGTTTGGTTATCACGCCATCTAACAGTCAGTGCAAAAAAAAAAAAAAAAAAAGAAAAAATATTCCAGACTGAATTATGCTGTTAAGCAAGTGCATCTGTATACATCAAATTAAGTACATTATTTTCTCTCAGTGTTTATATTATTTATCATAACAGACGGTATCATATAAATGCATCTTTGATTACCTATGAAGTGGAAGTTCTCCACAACCACCATTTCCTGTAGCGCTACATCTGCTTGGTCGGACAACAACCTTCGCAGGAGCTGCAAGAGATGCTGATTGACGGGCGGACCGCTGGATGTCACTTCTCCCAGCATTGTTGCGGGGACACTCAGAGGCCGAGGGAGGACAGGCTGATCAAGATGGAGGCATAGGTGCACTGTCTGAAACATTTGCTCCTGTCTCCTGGGATACATTGCTGCTGTAAAGAAAATTCAGATGAATTATTCTTATATGAGCGGGGTGGGGGTGCGGGGTTGTTTTTAAATTGCTGATTTAACAACTAGGGCCCAGACCTCTGCTACTCAGCTCCTCCAGGGTGATACCCTGGAGGAGTTTCTCCAGTGGCAAGGATGGGAAGTGGCCAAGAAGGCACAGACAAGAACAAGCCTTTAACAGTTCATAACTAGATATCCTGGGCAGGTAGAAGTCCAGAGTTTTGCTGAGACTCTGCAGAAACCTGGAGCAACACACCAGAGCATCAGCTTCATGAAAGTAATACACAGCTAAACGTCTGTTGTTGTGTACTGCAGTATTGGCTGAGAAATCAAAGTGTAATAAAGAACATACTGCTCTCTGTTATGCTGCACGCAATAGTTGAGGGACGCGTACACATTGAGGACACAGAGAAGGTCTTTAAGACTCAGAGTATCTGGATTGGTGATGACTCTTTGGGCAAATGCCGCCATCAGTGGAGTGGGACAAAAGGCAAGGCTCTCAAACACTGAGAGGAAGAGGACAACCTGGAGTGAAGTGAGAAGAATGAGGGAAGATGTGATAACGTTTTAAGCACGACCACAAACATCTCGACCATTGCCATTTTGAGCTGAACTGTCTAATGGATCAAGTCTGACTGAAAAGTTTGTTTTACCTCATGTGAGTATCGTTACAAGCTGAGAAAGGAATATAAACAGTGGCCTCGCGGTTCAAAACTAAGTTTTTCCATAGTAAGCCATTCGGAACAGGCTTTCCCACAAAGTTCACTTAAACATTTAAAAAATATTGGGAGCACCTAATTACTAAAACAGAACAATAAACCTCAAACAGCAACAATAAAAAACTTTATCATGTCAGAAATCAACCAAAGAGCATTACCTCCTTTTGGCTCCATATGTCGAATGTGGAGGCAATGTAGTCCGAGATGCCAGTGAGCAGGCTAAAGTCTCTGTAGCGCAGCTCTCGACATGCCAACAGCACTTTTAACAGTCGGTTAAATGGGACTCCATGGAGATTATCTGCGCAAATCACAAGCGAGTACAACAGGTCGGTCAAAAGCAAGAAGCTGAATTTTTATGATTAATATGAGTTCACTGGAATGAAATGAATTGAAATTAACACTTGACCATACCAGTAATTCTCTGACTGCAGATATCCAGCAGCGGTTTGGAATAGAAGCCCATCTTGGCCATGGTGGAGATCATGTACTGTGCATTGGGAAGGGTGAACCGCTCTATCATCGATAAGGCCTTTTGCTGAAAGTTCAGTTGATTCGGGTTAATGTTTGGTGCTAAAAATGAACATGACAAACATGTGCAGGGCATTTATTAAGGGCGGGGGAACTCGTCAAAGCTACCTGGATCTGTGTGAAAAAGTACTTGTCCCCGTGGTTAAACCGTGAATTACCTTGGCCTAATCGGAACGCTGAGTTGATTTTCACAGACCATCCCCAAGCTTGACTACTACCGTCAGACACAGATTGCTTCAACAGCGGCAAGGGATTGGTTCGCAGCCTTGATCGGGTCAGGGAACCTTATTTTAAAGGTTTGCCGACCCGGTCAGATGTTTTTTAGACACGTCACAAGGAGGCAGTGACAGCTCAGACGAAGGCTGAAGTGACAGCCGAAACTGACAGCTCTTCACTAAAAAAAGACCATTGTCTGATAAAAAAGAAACCTTAAACCTATTTCAACTAATAAGAAGGCAAGATGAACATCATAGCGCTACCTTCACCATTTTTTTTTCCAATTTAAAAACCTTCGCTACACTGCCAACCCCCCAACAGTAGAGTCTCCGAGTGAACCCAAAGTGTGTACGAGTCAAGTGAGAGCCGCCTTCTACGGCACCAACACAAGCCTCTTCACCTCTCTCAGAAGGCAAGATTGATGAATGTTAATTACTGTATAAAGTTTTATAATTAAAGATTTATGTAAATACGTGTACCGTTGTAATGTTTGTCTCAAATATGTGGACCCCCAATATTTTGTGGGGGGGGGGGGTATAAGGACCAGGCCAGCCTGCAAATAGCAAAATTCTGCAGATAAGTGGCAGCTATACAAATATGCATTGGGGGGGGAAAAAATTCAACCTAAAAAAAACGCTGATAAACATTCAATATGTATTTTCCGCAAATTTAAGGATGGAAAGAGCGGGAGTGACGGGCAGCAGAGAGAACATTCTACCCCTCCCCTGCTACCCTCAATCACAAATTCGAAAAATGTTGAAAAAAAAATCTGTGAATATGTGAATCAAGAGGTGCTGAACCGCAAGTTTGCAGAGGTCCGTAAACAGTACACGAGTAAATGCAGTAAGTGAACAAGTTATTTCAATAGATATTTGCACCATTTTTTGATCGGATCATAATAGTTTTTCTTTTTAACTCAATGGAATGGAATTGATTAGTGATACCCCCCCCAAAAAAAAAGATTGTGTAAAGTCTAGTTTTTGAGTAATCTTAGCAGCAAAAAAAAAAAAAAAAGAACGAAAAGTTGTTTTGGATGCAATCACAGATTTAAAAAAGGGAGAGAGAACACAAACAGTGTCTTTCACAAGACTGAATAACAACAGATTTGTGTAAATTCAGCTTTCAATCTCAAGGTAGAAGCAGGGGGAAAGATACCTCAAGTTTCCGTTTGAGGTCAAGCGACATATCTTTCCCCAAGAGGCGCATCACGGTCTGGAGCGCCACGACATTCTTTATCCTGGGAAGGTGCTCCTCAACCACCAGCCTGTAGCATAAAAAACAAAACAAAACAAAACAAAACAATGCGACATGATCTGGAATGGTACAGTTTAAACACAAAAGAGCACAATATTGTTTTAATACAAACCGCACTCATACACTACTTAATAAGGCTGACCTCAAGCCGTGTTTCAGTGCATCAACATTGGGGGTGCTCTCCATATGTGCCAGACAGGAGGCCAAAATGGATAGACTCTTCTCATCAAAGTCATTCAACTTCTCCTGTCAGTGAACAACAAGTAAACAATTATGGAATGAAATGAAGGAGAATAAACAAAGGTTAGCATGATGTTTATGTACCTGACAGGCACGGAGATACAGCTGGACCACACGGCTCCTTTGAGGCACACCGAGATTCACCATAGCCAACAGAGAGTATGCCATGTCTTCACATTGCATGGACCCTACATTGGCCATGACGTTTTGCAACAGCTGGTCAAATGCAGGATGCTCGAACATCAGCTGCAGCTCACATCGCCTCTGCTCATCCGACATCTTCTTGATGCTGGCCCACATATGTGTGAGGCAGTTGCTCAGTTGTTGAGGGGTGGGCGGATGTTGTTGGCTGAGGTCAAGCACATCTGATGGAGAGCCACAGTGCAGCAGGAGCTCAAAGAAAGGGGACCCTCTCTGACTCTGGCCTAAGGGGTGGTGTATCTCATCCAGAACTAAGGACTCCGCCACTGGGGTCGGGCCAAAGTTAGTTTCCTCTGATCCCAAATTGGCATCCTGCGAATGAAACCTCACGGAACTTTTTAAACTAGAAAGCCGCCATGAATTGATTTGCCTTGTGCCACGAATGTGTGCCAACCGTTGTTTGGAGGAACATGAGTTCTTGCCCGAAATTGCCGCTATAGAGCTGCAGTATTTGACCGAAAAGATGCAGGAGCGTAGAGACCGCCTCATGGCCTCTTGCGTCAACCACAGAGACATTGTCCACCAAGATTGTGAGTGCGTTCACATAATCAAGACACTGTTACTAATTACCGATTACATATTTTGCTTAGCCGAGTGATTCAACGTTCGTGTCGGACTGTCTACTGAAATTATCGCAAGGTCAACAACGAGCAAAATGCCAGTGACTGCATGCTACATGCTAATGTTTACGAAACGTCAAATAATAAGTCCACCATGTCATTGCCTTAAACTCAAAGTCATTTCATTTAACAGCGAACAGGCTGTACTTTAAATGTTAATAATGTTTTTTAAATTGTTATAGTTAATTTGCGTTCTCACATGCCTCTTCGAGATGTGTGCACCGTTTGAATCAGTCCCTCTGGAAACGGAAACAGGATAATTTCCTGGTGGTGGTGCTTGGTGTCCGAATATAACGATACATGAAAAATACAACGTATGTGAAGCAAAAGTAACAATTTCTGCAAATTAAATATTTGAGTTTAATTATAACGTTTTAAATTAATTTCAAAGCCATCGTCACTATCTTAACGTAAATGTAAATTATTTTACGCTCGCTATGTGTCGTTTCTACCGGTCTTATTCACTGTTGAACATCCCGTTACCGGGCAACGGGCAAACGAAAACGAAGTTTATTCAGCGTTGGAAACCTTTTCCATTATGTTGTGCGTTGCACCACCTTCTGCCCGAGCAACCAGAGTCGTCTAATGAAATGGCTAAATTTGTGTTGGCTGGTAAGTTGATAAATGTGACGTTCAAGTTTCAACCACAATCGTTAATTTATTTTATTGAGAATCATCTGAACAGCCAAGAGACGGCAACCCCAGACTAGAGATGACATTTTATTTGAGTCCTCCTTGTATTCATGAAATTAAAGCCTCATTTAAATTATCCAGCGAAACTAATACCTTCTTCATCTGTCCCTTCATTTTATGGTGTGGGGAACGTGCTGTCAACTCAGGCACGGCTCCCAAGAGTTGTTTTTCTCCCGGTGCTTAAGGGGGGCTTGATCGATACATAGGAGGTGTAGGGTGGGCTGGGGAGAGGGGGATGGGGGGGGGTATTTCCAAATATTTGATATATTTAAGAATACAGTATCAAATAAAATGCTGGAGGGCTTTACTGGGCCTATACAGATTTCTGACGGTGCCATAGTAGCCCTTATCCCCAGTGTAGCGTCATCCCTGTTATCATTTAGATAGTTATGTATATATAGTTAATGTTGGGCTCAACATTAAGCATTCCGTTTAACTTTTTTTGAGGTCGAATAGCTCGATAAATCTTGGAGCCAGATGTCGCACATCTGCGCTTTTTTGGGGTGGGTGGGAGGGGCAACATTTAATTTGAATGTTTAAAGGTCACCTTAATCTTTACATTTCGAATTAAATTTTAAAAACGAACAAAGTAATTTGAAATTAAATTTAATTCCTTTTATTTTCCAAAGTCACAGAGAGCCAGAGCAGGTGGATGAAAGCCACATGGGCCTCAGGAGCCACAAGTGGCAGACCTCTGTGATAGATAGACCAAGACAAAGTGGCTTTTTTTGTGAAGTGGAAGGAAGCCATTGAACAAAAAAGAAAAATCTGAAAATGTGGTGTTTGAAAGTATGTTCATCCGTCTCTGATACCTCTAGATCAGGGGTGTCAAACTCATTTTTGTCATAGGCCACATTGTAGTTCGGCATTGACAAAAAGTTTATTTACAAAAAAATTACGAGACCGGCAAAGTATAACAAAGAATGCTGGTGCAACACCAAGAAAAAAACGAAACCACCAAAAACGCTTGCAAAAGCCAAGGACAAAAATATAACCGGAAATAGCTTGTCAATAAAGAGACAAGAAAACCCAAAACACGTTTGATACAAACCGTGACTATGAATTACAGTAAAACAATACTTACATAGGTAAGTGCAAAAAACATGGCAAGAGAAAAAACATACAGCAACAACATAAGACATCTAGAAGATTCAACACTTTAACAGTCGTGAGCAGTGCATCAAATACTTGTTCTCCCCACTGTATATATTATATTTATTTTTCAAAAAAGGGGCATCGGTAACAAAAAATGCTGGCAAAACAGTATCTCAAAGTTTTTAAAAGGGAAGACAAATTGCAATTTTGGTATTTTTGCAAGAAACTTGAAGTTGATTCATATCATTTGGTTTCGTGGGCAAATGATGTTGAGTTTGACAGTGGTGCTCAAGTTGGAATCGGCCTAGTTACACATTTATGTTTTCCCACAGGCAGAACGGACTGCCCATATTATGCCAAAGCAGAACTTTTAGCTGACCGATTGGCGCGTTCTTTGCCAAATTTCCGCATTCACAAGATCTCGATCCTCCCAGATGAATGGAAGGTAAACATAACCATTTTCCTATGTTAAATAGTAAGTTTTTGGCATCTTATTGACAACTCACCGGTCTCCAGGATTGGCTACAAGACACTTGCATGAAAAATGGCTGGAAACATGAGGAGTCCCCTCTGGTGTGGAGAGAGTTGGTGCACCAAGGAGGCAAAGGCGTGTTCTTAGGGGGCTTTGATGACTTTTTAGAGCACTGTCAGGTCGGCCTCCTACTTTGTATTTGACACATTACCTGACAATGTTGTGGAGCACGCTGTTTGTAAATAATAATAATAAATGAGTCATGCACTGTTCCTTACCGCCAGAATTACTACAACATCACATCAGACATGTCTGAAGAAATGATGCAGAGTATTGCAGAAGAAAACCTTGAGACCAAGATCACCCTGATTTTGGAGGCGCATCATCGTGCCAGTCTCATCCAACCCCTTCACATATGGATCAGCAGGTGAAAAGTACATGCAAGACGTGGTGCTGACGTGTTTGGTGCGTCCAACTCATTAGCCTGATTTGTACTCGCCCAGCGCTCTAAACCCAACCTGCAACATGCTGATCCCCAGTCTGCTCTCCGCCGAGGTGCTATCCCAAGCATCTGCCATTAGTCTTCACCTCCTGGATGTGGAAGGCAATGAGGAGGAACTGGAGTCACTGAAGATGGAGACGGAAGATCTGGCTTTGCCTCTACTCCATCAGGCAGATAATCTTAATTCTCTTTTCCTTTTCATATGTACAAGTATACATACCTCATCTTTTATCGAAGCGATACACGCCGCAAGTGTAATACAAACAAACAATCTGTCTCGACGTATGGACAGGTGACCATTCACACAGATCTCAAAGATGCTTTCCAGAAAGCTGAGATCATCCTCCTGTTGGATGACCACTGGTCCGGAGTCAACGATGACACGGATGTGCAGCAACAACAGACGATAAAAGCGCTGGCAGCCCTGTATACTGAATATGGGCGCTTGATTGAGGCGAGGGCCAATGGGGACGTGAAGGTGATTGTGTCCGGCGGCTCGCTTGTGAACCTCAGATGCTCACTTCTACTGAAAGCGTGCTCACTTGACAGCCGTCGTTTTGTTGCCGTCGCAACTCAGCTGGAGAATGAAGCCAGAGCCGCCATCGCCAACAAGCTCCGAGTGAGGACTTCAGGTAGCCACGCCGCTTGCATGTTTTGCGCACTCGCTTGTCAGCATTCCTAGCATCTGTGTGGTGTTCCGCTTCAGAGGTGACAGATGTCATTGTGTGGGGAGATGTTGGAGACAGCTTCTACATAGATCTGCAGAGGGCAAATGTTTTTAATTATGATGGACCAATCAAAGGGCCGCCCTTCTTTTCCCATCCAGTGCTCGAGATTATCTACGACAGGTCAGTGAGCAAACCAACAGTACATACTCACAGGAGGACATTTAGGCACCCAACATTTGAGAAAAACAGACAATTTCTTTTGTTTTTTTTTCTGTAACGTCATCTGGAAAAAACGGTTAAACCCATCGTATAATTTGATTCGTATCATCACCAGTCCGCATTTTATGTGATCATTTGCTCTATTTGGCACAACTTTGTTCCAGATACTTAAGCATCTGAAATGCCTCTATCAAAATATTGCTAAATAAATCTTTCACAATTAAAGAAATTATTTTTTTAAGACCAATTTAATTTTAGTACCATATTACTCTAATTACAATGTAATGGTAGGTTTTTCTTGTCACGTTTTGTGAGGTGGTAGAGTAGTTGGAGGACCCCAAAAAGCATCGAGGCAGGAGGAGCAGGCTGGGCTGAACAAAATGACCAACAGGTGTGCCGCTGCAGGAGGAGCCCTACAGTGCCACCTGTTGGTCACAAACAGAACCACCCGAACATTTCTCCCTCAAGCGTAAATGCTAGCTGCTACGCCAGGTGGTCAAGAACAAATTTAGCTTCACTGTGTATAAAAAGTCTGCACACCCTAGTCAAGTGCCAGGTTTTTGTGAGACAAAAGGGAAAAAAAAATCCACTACCATGGCCGATAACCTGACATAAATTAGAGCCATGTAAAGATTGTGTGGTGGCCTGGTGGTCCAGTGGTTAGTGCGTCGACCTCACAGTGCAGAGGTACCGGGTTCAATTCCAGCTCCGGCCTCCCTGTGTAGAGTTTGCATGTTCTCCCCGGGCTTGCGTGGGTTTTCTCCGGGTACTCCAGTTTCCTCCCACATTCCAAAAGCATGCATGCATGGCAGGCTGACTGAACACTCTAAATTGTCCCTAGGTGTGAGCGTGAGCGTGGATGGTTGTTCGTCTCTGTGTGCTCTCGATTGGCTGGCAACCGGTTCAGGGTGTCCCCCGCCTACTGCCCGAAGACGGCTGGGATAGGCTCCAGCACCCCCCGCGACCCTAGTGAGGATATGCAGAACGGAAAATTAATAAATGAATAAATAAAAATTGTAAATGTGGTTGCATAAGTGTGCACCCCCTTTCTAACTGGAAATGTGGTTGTGTTCAAAATTAACCAATCACATTTAAACGTGTTTAATGGGAATCAGCACATACCTGCCACCATATAAAGTGTCTTCACTTACCCCCCAAATAGTTTTTTTTTTTTGCTTTTAAGATAATTTTTTTGTCCCACATTGGGGACATTTTACCAAAAGCCTCATGTTTTTGTGTCACTGTTGACTGTTTTTTGGAACCGTTCAGGCTTCCTGCCCTTTTTAGTAAGGCTCCATTTCCATCCCCCCGTTGCCCCCCCCCCCAAAAAAGCCCACAACCATGCCTCATTCTAGGTATACAGGTAGGTGTTTTTTTTTTTTGTGTGTGCGGGGGAGGGGATGAACTGTTTCATCGGGTCTTAAAACAGAAAAATTTAGCCAGGCTTTGATGATTTTCTTTGTAAGGTCAGACTTCCGTCCTGCCAGTCTATCCCATAGTCCATCCAGCCTTATGGACTAAACGGTCTGTAGTCGCCAGAAATTCATGGAGCTCCTTCAATCTTGCTGTCAGCCTCTTGGAAAACTCCCTGACCAGTTTTCTTCGTCTTTTCATGAGTTTTGAAGAGACATCCAGTTTTTGATACATAGTACATTTTGTAGAGTACATTGTATTCAAAAAAGACTTTATTTAGTTCCAGTCTAAATTTACACTTAGAAGAAAGTAAAATATTCAGAGTAAATGTTACTCAAGGTAATAGATTCATCGTAGTCCAAACACTTCAAACCAACTTTTATTTGATGACAACATAAGTTACTCACCCATATTTTACACCAATGACAGCCTCATGTGTGTTTGAAGATTTTGATCCATTCTCAAGATTTACTCCTGCTTTAGTACACTGAAAAAAATGGAGTGATATTTACTAACCCCCACCCCAACAAAAACAAAAAAAACTTTCTCCACTCATAAATACAAAGTAAATTCTACAAAAATAGTTTTTGAGTCAGTTTTATTTGCTCAGTCTTAGTTTATTAAAAAAAAGTCACTCAAGGGTTGAGGAACATACCCACACCCTCACGGTTAGGAAACAGCTATTCTACCACCTGAGCCATTCATGCCTACTCAAGAGTTAATAAATTGGCCGTGCCAGGTGGAATACTTGTGTAAGTTGCGGGGTTCGTAGTTTTTGAATGGATGCCTCTACATTAAGAATTTGAACGCAGCTTTTATTTTTCCAATGTCTGCACCCCCGAACGAAGGAACGAGAACACACCTCCTTCCGGCTACTCAAACACTTCCTGCTTTCCTTCAGCCAATCAGACAATATCAACATAAACTTGTTTCAGCAATTATTAAACGGAATATTCATTCATCCATTCATTTTCCGAACTGCTTGATCCTCACTAGGGTCGCGGGGGGTGCTTGAGCCTATCCCAGCTGTCTTCGGGCAGTAGGCAGGGGACACCCTGAATCGGTTGCCAGCCAATCGCAGGGCACACAGAGACGAGCAACCATCCACGCTCACATTCACACCTAGGGACAATTTAGAGTGTACAATCAGCCTGCCACGCATGTTTTTGGAATGTGGGGGGTAAACGGAATATCATTTAAGTAATCCTAACACAAAAGAATATAATGCTCAAACATAAAATGACAATAATTAACAATTTAACAAAAGCCTACACTTGTACCTCCAGAAGGAGGCAGACCAAAATATTTGGGGCCTCCATTTGGAGCCACCAGCAATATAAAAAATTCAGAGTAAGAATGGCTCATGTAGGTAGACTTACCGTAGGTCAATCCATAGTCAATTAATTTTCCTCTAGATCAGAATGCAAACTCAAATTAATGGTATGTGGGGGCTGCTGGAGATAGTGTCTAGGTGTGGCTGGTCCACATCAAGTATTTCTCCAAAAAGGGATTCAAATTTGCACAAAAAAAAAACAATACAATCATCTCAATCTTTTATTAACAACATTTGAGAACATTAACGGTTCTTTTGTATATGAGCAAGATTTGCAACCCAGTTCACGCATCTCCCTGGTACTTTGCATGCTCCTCAACTTGTCTAGTTGAGTAATGGCATCTGGTTTCTTGAGCACAGCAGGATTTCTCTGTGCATTGAACACACATCAGGGTGTCCCTGTGCTCAAGAACAACAACAGGAAAATCCCCAAAACAAAAACTTTTTTTTTTCTGGAAATTGGCCGTTTCTGTCACCAATACATGAAAAACATATGACTCTGTATCTTTTCCTTCCACTTTGTGTTACTTTAGAATTCTGTTTTGCCAAAAACTGTCATAAGCCTGAGCTATAGTAGCCCCATAAATGATTAAAACAAACAAACAATACACACACACACACACACACACATCAAACAGCTAGAGAAACATGAGAGCTAATATTGTGGGAGGTCACATTAACATTAAACTTAAATGTCACGAATGGGGCCACAACATCTCATCCTGAGGGTCGCAAATGGCTCCTGGGCAGCCAGTTTGAGACCCCCGCTAGATGGCTAACAATGTTTTAGTAACAGGGCTGTGTGGTATGTTGAGAGACAACTTCAGAGCATAATTACTATTTAACTGTACGGCATGACAAAAATGTTTTCACAATTACAAATAAGAAAATTAAAATCTTACAGAAAAAGACGATTTAAAACTGATTTAGTCTGTTCCATGTGACATATAAATTATTCATCAGAGGGAAAAAAACATTAAGGAGGTACAAAAAAAGCAATTTTACAGAATATTTAGTCATCACATTTACTTCAAGTACTTACATTTCGTCTCTTTTCATGTTTGTGGAGTCTCTACGGGGATTATTTGAAATTTCATGGGAGAGAGAAAACATTGCTCCAGTGGTGGAATGCTCTGTTTAGTGTTGCACTGGTAATTGGCAGTGGTGGTAAACTGCTCTTTTGTATTAGATTGACAGAGTCCCATTATCGAGAAAATCTAAATGAGTGGATTAAATCATCAAAACGTGAACATGTTGGACACATGCATTGATTTCTCAGTTTATCCCCACTTTTACTCCCCCCCACCTGACTCTAACAACAATCTAATTTGGCCCTTGAGCACAAGCTGCCCACCTGGCGTACCTGATCAAGTGGCAACTATCCAAGAGGTGTCAAACAGCACAACAAGAATGGCAGACTCAACATTCCACCATACACCCTTTGCCCCAAAAGCCACTGACCACCTTCTTTTGTTCAGGGAATGGCTTGAGGGCGACTTCCAAGACATCGTGCGTTGTCAGCGGGCAGCCGTGGTCTCAAAGACCTGTCGCGGAGCGGACATGTCGACTGCCAATGGGATCCTCACTCTCCTAAAGGCATGGAATGGGACTTTGACTCCCAGTCAGGTGTTCTCTGTGGGAGTCTCGTGCACAGGTGAAACATTAAAAAGGGGGTGGGGGACTTCTAATGTGCGTCACATACATTTAGAACATTTGGGCAACTTGCAGACCATTACGAACTCCCCGGCGACGTCATCCTTTCAGTGCCAGTGATGTTCACAGATGGCCAGTGGTCGGTTGTGTCGGACGTGACTGTTGGAGATGATCTGAAGCAGAAACTTCATCTTTTTGCAAGTAACCTCAGGCAAGATACCTTTTTTTGTGCGTCCTGCAACCAACAGCACCCCTCACATCATGCATGATGGATTTCCTTCACAGGAAAAAAATGGATACGGAGAACCCCAGTACAGAGGTCAACCAAGAGCCTGATCAAAACTTTGACAAATCCATGGAAAACCAGGCCAAAGAATATGCGCTTTAGTGCACAGGTGTCAAAGTCAAGGCTCGGGGGCCAGATCTGGCCCGCCACATCATTTAATGTGGCCCGCGAAAGCAAATCAAGCATGTCAAGTTCCATGATGCTTGCTAAAGTATGAACCAAAATTTCAAATGGTCATATGTAATCCACAATAACAGTTATGATCCTTGACTTCTGATTTTAAAATGAGTTATCCATTAATTTGTTGTGCGCTGCGTATGTAATATGTGGAGGGGAATAAATATTTATCCGGTTTCCCAAAATTCATAACGGCCCTCCCAAGGGAAACCGTGACTCCAATGTGGCCCGCGACAAAAATGAGTTTGACACCCCTGCTTTAGTGCATCGTGCTTTTCAGTTTGTTCTTTTATTCTTTCTTTCTCATGCAATGTTATAGTGTAATTCACCAATTCAGTACAATAAACCTCCTTGCCTGGCCAAACGCGTCTCTTGCTTTTGATAGTCTCAAAATGTAAAAGACCAAACTGAGTACTTTATGCAAAACCAAAGAGCCTAGAAAATATAGTCTTGAAGTGAACAGTTCAACAAGTGCCCTTTTTATAGTTCAAGAAGCAATCTTGTAAGCACACTACCAACCACAAATTAGTCTGCTAACCGCTAAATATGTGATCAACTGTCTGTCATTTACAGTTGGCATGTATTGAAAATGAGGACGTACCAAACATGTCTTCCACTCATTGGAAAATAATAAACAAAGTGATTTTTACCTGAAACATTCAACTGTATCCCCCCCCCATTGTGCAGCGTGTTGTTCTACATGCAGAATATTGCGGAACATATAAATTCCTTAGTTATTTATTTTTGTAATAATTTCTGCAATATACACAGGGAGGCTGGTAAAGTCGGAAGTTAGTACAAATACAGTTCACGAGGACAAGTGGGTAAATGAACACAACGCTGAAAGCCAATTTATACACCCTGCCCCCTGAGAATTGGATGCTGAGCAATGAAAGCAAAAACGTCCAACCCAAAACATTGCAATTGAACATCGGTTAGTACATGTGTAATGCATGGCATGCAATGTACTTGTCGTGGTTAGTTGCTAAAGATGGACGACAACAAGAACTCAATCTCACCTGTAGCAATGACATGTGGCATAACAATAGATTCCACTCGCAAATATTAAGTCAAGACGAGGCATCAACCACAGAGGAAAGCGCTTTAAGTCATTTGTGGGTGTGTGGGTAAAGATCTTCTTTTCAACACTTGTCAAAGTTACCGTTTCCAGGCAACAAGTGAAAGCGCAACTATGACCCCAATGCGCTCAATTAAACCAAGCAGATATTTTTTCTGCTTTAGTCATTAGAATTTGGGGAATGTGCTACAAACATCATTAAAAGGGTGCAAGAAATGTTTGAATTCACCCTCGGCTGAATATACCATCTAACAGTTGAATGAAATCATTTAGAGCACCTACTCATGCTTTGTAATCCTAATCTCTGTAATAACATCTGGACGAACATCTGCTTCTGACAGCAGGTTGACTCACCCCGGGGAATTTGCTTACAAAGCAAATTGATACGCTTTTGAGGCCAGATGTAAAATGCTGACAGAGCTGTCAGGCACCAACAGCATCAAATGCTCTTTGATAAACCTTTTGACTGTACTGCTGCGTATGATGTCGATGCAATGGACAAATTAAAAACAAAACACATCGGACTCGGGGAGGGGTCGGGGGTGGGCAAAGGGGAAGCTATGACTGGTGTTGATGCTGCGGAGCTCCGGAGGCTCCCCCCGCCAGCGGTCTTTCAGGGCTGAGGTCCAGCCCCTCATCCGCCTGCTCAAGTTCACTTTGGTCCAGAAGCTCAAAATCCTCTTCCTCGGTAGCAACCAGTGTATCATCGTGCATGTCATCAGCAGTGACGCTCTCTGTGGTTATGGTCTCCAGGTCCTCGTCGGGCCCCGGCACCGTCGCCATTGTTGGGTGGGCGGAGGTCTCCATAATGCCTGGGGGGGATTCATGAGGGAGGAACTCGGCCAGGACAGGCTCCTCGCTGGCCTCACTCGAGCGTAGCAACGCTGACAAAGTGTTTTGTACCACAGTGGAGATGGCTGTGCTCACAATCTCCTCACTTAGGGCCTCAAGTGACCGCTGCGCACCCTGGGAAACAGCAGCTGCCTCCCCCTCTCCTCTATGACCCGCTGCTCCTTCCCCTGTGGCCGGCAATACGCCCACCTCGCCACCAGGCGGTCTCCCGTTGCCGTTGAAATGAGTGTTCACAAAGTGCAGTGGGGATGCAAGGTGCTGGATGAGGAGGCTGGCGGGGCTCAACGCTTCGGCCTCTGCGGGAGCGCTCGCCTGGGATCGGTCACCTTGCAACGGAAAGCGGAGGAGGTTGTGCTCCAAGGATGGAAACTCCTCAACGGAAGGAAACTCGGGCAGATCCCGTAGATAGGACTCTTCTGGCTCGCTGTGTACACTCTGTTGATCCAGGTCTGAACAGAGGTGACATATAACAATATTTGAAGGACATTACTGTCTTCCCAAGGATCACACCTATTTTTTTTTGTCTCCGTGTGTTTTGGCGTGAACCTGGACAGGCCTCTCAGCCTTCTAAATTATTTTCTGTCATGCCCCCCCTAGGAAGAGGAAAACATCTCGCGCCCCCACGCACAACTATAAATAGTCTCATTTATCTTTAAAATTGTTTTAAGTACACCTCTGCATAACACTGTATCCTTATTAACGTATAAGAGAATAAAAAAGAAATAAATATGGACCAACTTACAACAAAGAATAGCTTTAGTAACTGTAACAGACAAGATTTAAAGTGCATCTGAAATTCAAAAATAAAATAAAATCCCAAATTTAACGATAAATATTTTTTGACTGACCATGTCAAACAATACGATACTGAAAAATAAAATTACATATCATCAATAAGTAATAATGCATTCAAACTAATCACCCACATTATCTCAGGAGCACAATATTTAAAAAAAAACTTTAACCAGTAAAACAAAAATATATAAAATAATTTGTGCTGATTTTTTTTTTTTTTAATCAAAGATGATGTCTGGATTAATAGCTACGAGTAGCAGTCACAAAGCGGGATGATTGACGGCAATATTCGGCATGTTTTCGCTGAAAAAAACTCAAGCGGCTTATCAGCGTGATTGGGGTGTAATGTCTTTAAGTGACGCTTTAATTTATTTGGCTTCATGCTGTCCGCTGCCAACATTTTTAGACACAGTAATTAAGACACCGGTCTTTCCTCATCTACCACCGTAGTCACAGTGAAGCCAAGCGCTGCATACGCTTCGTCATATTTCCTCGTCTTAGCTAGTTTGTCTCTTATCTGCGTCTCTCGCTGCCTGTAGACTTCGTGTCTACTCATACTCTGGGCTGTGTGCAAAGCGAGCATGCTCAGTGCAAATAAAAACACAGAGCGAATGCTCCCTCCACACACTCTGACAATGAGAGTGCAATTGCACTTTATTCTAGGACAGTAAAAAAAAAAAACTTAATTAAAAAAAGCATGTTCCCCGAGGTCAAACGCACCCCCCTTGACGGAGCCTCGTGTCCCCCTGGGGGGGCGCGCCTCACTATTTGAAAAACACTGCTCTAATGAGAGGCTAGTTCTACATTGGCAGAGTTCCAAATGTAACTTTGATGCAAACCTACATTTACCTTCAGAGACATCCGTCAGTTGGGGGGTCGTGGCTCTGGAAACTGAGAAACCGCCGCTCTCCAATATGGAAGCCTCCTCGTCAGACAACTCTGAGTCGGTGATGGCCATCGCCAGGGCCGTAGTCCTCACATCCACCTGAGCAAGACAACCACAATGAGAAACAAGGTGTTGCTTCTGCAATCTCAAGGAATGACTTTCAAATTCTCTCCGCCTGTGAACGGCTTCCCATATCTGACTATTTCCCGAGCGGCCACAAAACATAGCAAAGGTAGTTGAATTTGCAGACTTCATCCGCTACTTGAATTGATTTTTCCTCACCCTCCTGCATCAGTTCCGAAATAGCTTTTTTTTCCTCTCTTCTCCCTCCGGACATTTTTCAGCAGAGGCTGTGTTTTATTTTGGAAATGTCTTTCTACATTTGACTTGTAATTGTTGGCCGTTTTTTCACCACAATACTATTCATACTGGTAAATGCAAATGAATCTACCCAGGCATGATTAAATGTTCTATTTTCTTCAGATATTTTTCTTTTCTTAGATTTCCCAATTTTTGGCCTACCTGTGGTTGAAAGTCTAGCTAAATGCACGGTGTTTTGCCGGGCTGTCGGAGAGAGCAACGAAAAATAATACAATGTAGAAATCATTTTATTTTAATATTTCGGGATCACAATTAAAGGAACGAACAAACATAAATACTTTGTTCAGACATTGTGCAATTTTGGAGTTGCTGGGCTTTCCGGCATGACACCTGTATTTTCTCAAATCTGCCTGCCGACACGTCAAGTGCTCGCAAGCGTCTCTGAAGCAGGCGAATGCTGATCACTGAAATTGCACAAGGTCTGAAGAAAGAAGTTGTGGTGTAGGGAGGCAAAATAACATGGCCAAACAAAATATGTTCTTATTTTGTTCTTAACAGGCTTTTAACAACACAACACTAGTTCGTACAACTCACTTGAACGGGTGTTCACACGGCAAGATTTGCTCCGGTGCTGTGCCAGCGCTGCCCCAGTTGAGCGTTCACACGTGCAAAGTTATACCGGTGTAGAAAGCAGCTTACTCCGGAGCAAATTTAACCCACCTCGGGGAGGTGGTTTAAATATTTGCTCCGGAGTAAATGCTCATTTGCAGAGCAGCACCGATGTAAATTTGCACGTGTGAACTTTACAATTTGCTCTGCAGCAAATGCTCGTTTGTGGGGGGGGGGAGTAGCCTCGCTACGCATGAGAAGAGTTGATTACATACGGCGAGAATGCGTTGCTTTCGTGCTCTGTTGTACTTCGTCATGTGTTTGTTTAATAACGACACAAGACATGGCTGGGAACAGTAGCAAGCCGCACCTTGCCTCTTGGGTTATACCATCTCAACTAGAACGGGGCGGGGGGGATAGTCCCCAAACGTCATC